AAGAGTACTAAGAGTTAGAGATAATCATACTAACAAGAATACCAATAACAGAACCAACAATGACAAAAAATGAACAAAATAATCAAAATATCATCTGTATCTTTGTACTACTATTAAATCTTCAACTTATAGAAACCACTACTACTACTACTACTACTACTACTACTACTACTACTAATAATAATAATAATAATAATAATAATAATATAAGATAACAATAGTATTTGCAATAGCAGTAATAATAATAATGATAATGATAATAATAATAATAATAATAATAATAATAATAATAAAAGAAAGGATAAATAATAAATAAATAAAGAATAGACAAATAATCACTGACAACAATAACAATAACAATAGTAATAATAATAATAATAATAATAATAATAATAATAATAATAATAATAATAATAATAATAATAATAATAATAATAATAATAATAATAATAATAATAATGATAAGGATAATGATAAGGATAATGATAAGGATAAGGATAATGATAATGATAATGATAATGATAATGATAATGTTAATGATAATGATAATAACTATAATGACATTATCCATGACAATGACATTGACAATGATATGAAAATGGTGATAATGATCGTAATGATAATGATAATAAAGATAATGATAGTGATGATAGTGATAATGATGACAATGACAATTACAACAACATTATTATTTTTATCAATATCATTATCATTATCATTATTATATCATCATCATCATCATCATCATCATTACTATTATAATTTTTAACATTCTTCATCAACACCATTATAATAAGAACAATTACAATAACAGTATCAACAATAATAATAATAGCAATAACAATAACAGAATAATAAAAATATAAATAACAATAACAATTACAATAACAAACACCAAAAAAATAAAAACAACTAAAGCAAATATAAGCAATACTAATATATATCAATAAGAATAATAACAATAAATATTAATAGTTATCATAATCATAATAACACAATTATGAATAACATAAATATTGACAATTGAGAAAAAAAAAACTAACAATAATAATAATAATGCCAATAAAAATACTAACAAAAACAATATTACCAATAATGATAATAATAAATAACTAATAATAACAATAATAATAATGATGGTGATGGTGATGATGATGGTGATAGTGATAGTGATAATTATAATTATAATGATTAAAAAATAATAATAATATAACAACAATAATAACAATAACTAAAGGTATGGCATATCACACTACAATATATATCATTATTATTATCATTACTGTTGCTATTGCTACTGCAATTACTATTATCGTCATCATTCTTGTAATTACTGTCTTTACTGTTATTATCTTATTCTTATCATTCTCATTATTATCATTATTATCATTACTGTTATCATCTTCATTACTATCACCATTAATATAATTATTGTCATCATCATTGTCATCATCATTTGTCATCATTATTATTGTCATTGTCAATATTATAATTATTATCATTGTTAACAATCATAAGTATCATTATCATCATTAACATTCTTGTACTTACTATCAGCGATATTATATGATCATAACAATAACAATACAACATCACATCCACATAACTACTTGACTCTGAAAAGCTGTGGTGTTGTTACTATTACTTTGTGCTGATTATTTAAGCTTTTTAATAACTAGTATTGTTCATAATGTAAATTAATCTATCTTTGTGAAGCTCGATTTTAGATAATTCCTGACACCAACGGTTATATTTAATAATGAATATAACAATGATGACAGTGACAATAATGCAATGAAGACATTTATCAATAATGATAACCCTAATAAAATACTAACAGGATTGCAGCCATCAGAATAAAAGTCCCCAAACAAATGAACTCCATCCAAAATGCACAAACCACCACAAGTAACAACGCATTAACAAAAACTTTCTTAAGCCCCCCCCCCCCCCCACTAACTGCCCTGTTTCCCTAGCCAGACCCCATTCTGATTGCCATTACTCTGTCTGTCTTGTATATATCAAATGTAAAAGCAATAACAACAAAAATAATAATGCTGATACAAAAAGAACAGCATAAATGATAACAACAAATAACAATCATAAACAACCACAACGAAACAAAGCCTTTTAAAGCCTTTTACCCCCCCAAGTGACAGCCACCACATCACACCCTTCGCCACAGTGCCCTTCTAGTCATACCCACGACCCATGGCACGCCTCACTGCCCACCCCCCCAGACGCCCCGTGACGCCCTGGGCATTTCTGGGCCACCGATTCCACGGCATGAGACACCAAGGGGCATTTTTAATAGCCGATGGTGATTCTCCTTTATTTCAATCTCTCTCTTTTCTCACTCATCACTGTACTTTTCACTGTTGGTCTCTATTCCTCGGTTTCTCGGGCTTCGTTCCGCCGGCCGCTTCGTTTCCGAGCGTCTCTTTGGTGAGAGTAATTTGCATATAATAATATAATATCTTCTTCCTTCACATCGCGGGGA